TGCCTTCCCTTGCAGACATTGAAGAAATGACTTCAGCCTGTCCTTTTTGTCTTAGCTTGTACATTTTGGAAAATTAAAACAAATAAGAAAATACAGGTTTCCGGCCAAAAGATGAAGGCATTCGCCTTTGTAGTACCTTCACTTTTCCTGAACACTTCCACCAAACTCTCTGCCTCCTCTTGGATCTGATACTCCAGAGCGCTCTTCCCCAAACCGAGGTTCTTCAGAGCCGCCATTGAAAATCGTCTTTGCTGCTTCCAGGTCAGGCCCGTGGAAAGCAGAATTCCTGATGACACAGAACCACCAAATGACAGATTATCGGCCTTATTCAAGTCTTTAGAAATGACAGAAAGGCAAAATACCTTTCTCCGAATATTGTGATAGAAATAGCAATGGCACTTAGATTTACCATATTTTTCGGACTATCAGACGCACCTGAATTTAGAAGAGGAAAACAATAAAAAATGTTTTTGGCCTACTGTTTTCAGGCCTTTTCCAGTCTTCTGGGGCTTTTTTGTCTCATTTTCTAGGCTTTTTTTGGCCTGTTTGGGGGGCTTTTTTCAGCCCATTTTCAAGGTTTTTTCAGCCCATTTTCAAGTTTTTTTCAGCCCATTTTCAAGGTTTTTTCAGCCCATTTTCAAGGCTTTTTTGGCCTGTTTCTGAGGCTTTTTTGGGGTCATTTTCAAGGCTTTTTTCAGCTCATTTTTTCAGCTTTTTTCAGCCCATTTGTGAGGCTTTTTTTTTTTTTTAATTTGATTTATATGCTGCCCTTCTCCGGAGACTCAGGGCGGCTTACAATGTGCTAAGCAATAGCCTTCATCCTTTTGTATATTTATACAAAGTCAGCTTATTGCCCCCACAAACTGGGTCCTCAATTTACCTACCTTAGAAAGGATCGAAGGCTGAGTCAACCTTGAGCCTTGGTGAGATTCGAACCTGCAGTAATTGCAGGCAGCTGTTCTTAATAACAGGGTACTTTAGACCACTGTACTACCAAGGCTCTTCAGCCTTTGAGGCTTTTTTCAACCCATTTTTGAGGTTTATTTCAGCCTGTTTTTGAGGCTTTTTTCAGCCTGTTTTTGAGGCTTCTTTGGGGCAATTTTCAAGAGTTTTTTCAGCCTGTTTCAGGTCTTTTTTTGGCCCATTTTCAAGGCTTTTCGGCCCATTTTTGAGAGGTTTTTTGGCCTGCTTTTTTGCCTTTTTTTGCCTGTTTTTGAGGCTTTTTTGGGCCTGTTTTTTCAGAAAAACAGGCCCCAAAAGCCCTGAAAAGGGGCCAAAAAAGCCCCAAAACAGGCTGAAAAAAGCCAAAAAATGGGCCGAAAAAGCCCCCAAAATGGGCCAAATAAGCCTTGAAAACAGGCCAGAAAAAGCCTCAAAAATGAGCCAAAAAGGCCTGGGAAAGGCCCCAAAACAGGGCATACAGAGGCCAAAAAATGGCTGGCAGGTGGGTGGGGCTTTGGCAATATTTGGTCTATAAGACGCACAGACATTTTTTTTTTAATTGAAAAAGTTTTACAAAAACCAATTTTTCCCCCTTTCCCCCCGCATCCCTCCCTAACCCCCCCAACCCTCCCCTCTTCCCATGACTTCCCCAAGGTGAAATCCGTCCACATTATATTATATCATACTTTACCACCCCTCTATTCTCCCCCCTGTGCGCTATACATTTCTACATAACAATATGCTATTTTGGCCCCTATAAACTATGCATTTCTACACAACATTCAGCTAAAAGCTATCTGGTACTTCCTAGTTTGATATTTATTCTGCGCATAATCTATCCATTAAGACGCACAGACATTTTCACCCCCTTTTGGGATACAAAAAAGGGTGTCCTATAGTCCAAAAAATATGTTATATCCCACTTCAACATGCTTTACAACCTTCTCTGAGTGGTTCACAGAGGAATGTAAAACTGCCTCTGAAACGTGAAGTCCAGTTCTGCCAACTGGGCAGCATAGGCTTTGGAGTTACTAGGAAACTATCATAAAACAGGAAGCCTAAATTAGGAATAACTAAAAGGGGACAAGAGAATGAAGGAAAACAAAGCAAGAAGACAAGCAGAAAAATATTAGAAATAAACAAGTAAATGACAAAGAAAAATATTGAGGGGAAAAAAAGAAGAAATAAAGTTATAAAGGAAACCCCTCAAAACCATGCGATGAATCTATTCAAATTTCAAAATTACATTAACATTCTACCATTCTCAAGAGTTGATTTTTGATTAATACAAATTTGTATTTGTTAAGTGAGTCCCATCCAATTTTACAATCTTTTAAATCTTTTTTAATAAGCTAAGTGCTATTGCTCTTCCTTCCTTCCTTCCTTCCTTCCTTCCTTCCTTCCTTCCTTCCTTCCTTCCTTCCTTCCTTCCTTCCTTCCTTTCTTCCTTCCTTCCCTCCCTCCCTCCCTCCCTCCCTCCCTCCCTTTTGTGGTGATGCAGTGGTTAAAATCCAGGATTGCAGGCTAACTCTGCCCACTGCCAGAAGTTTGATCCTGACCAGGTCAAGGTTGACTCATCCTTCCATCCTTCCAAGGTGGGTAAAATGAGGACCCAGATTGTTGGGGGCAAGAGGTTGACTCTGTAAACCGCTTAGAGAGCACTGGAAAGCACTGTGAAGCAGTATATAAGTCTAAGTTCTATTGCTTTTCCTTCCTTCCTTCCTTCCTTCCTTCCTTCCTTCCTTCCTTCCTTCCTTCCTTCCTTCCTTCCTTCCTTCCTTCCTTCCTTCCCTCCGTCCCTCCCCACTTTTGTGGTGATGCAGTGGTTAAAACCCAGTATTGCAGGCTAACTCTGCCCACTGCCAGAAGTTTGATCCTTGACCAGTTCAAGGTTGAGTCAACCTTCCATCCTTCCGAGGTGGGTAAAATGAGGACCCAAAATTGGCTGACTCTGTAAACTGCTTAGAGAGGGCTGTGAAGCGGTATATAAGTCTAAGTGCTATCGTTAGTGCTATTGCTTTTAGGCACGGTTCTTGAGTGAATCACTGCAGTTGTTTGGTGAGTCACAATTTCCCCCCATTGACTTTACTTGTGAATGTGGTTGTAAGTAGAAGACTAGCTGAACCACCAGAAAGGTGACACCAAAGAAATGGAAATTGTCCTGCCTCCGGTACCCACATCTGAAGAAAGTTGATTGTTCTTACCTTTGTTATTTGCCAATGTTTTGAAAAAGGGGAGCAGAGGCCGGCCAGAAACATCTTCAGGGTGGGTGGTGAGACCATCCTTCACAGCTTGGTAGCCTTGTAATATAATCAGAGGGTAGGGCCCGAACCACAACGTGAAGATATTCCCGTAGATCTTGGACATCTGTTAAAAAAATGATCCCGGACAGTCTTTAAGATTCCTGGGCTAGACTGGTGACTATATTGCTTTATTCTCATTTGAATAAAAGCTTAAATTCATTAGATTCATTACGGATAGGAGAGAGAGGAGCAGGAGGAGGACTGTGGGGTCCTTGGTGCTCTCTGAGGTTGGTTGTTTTCTTGCAGACATTTCCAGTACCCAACTAGGTAACATCATCAGTGCTGGAAGGGAGAGGGGTTTGCAGGGAGGAGGAGGAAGAGGAGGAGGGCTGTAGAATCCTTGGTACTTTCTGAGGTTGGTTGTTTTCTTGCAGACATTTCAGTACCCAAATGGTAACATCATCAATGCTGGAAGGAGGTGGGGTTTGAAGGGAGGAGGAGGAGGAGGAGGAGGAGGAGGAGGAAACCGATAAGGTGGACTCTATTCCTGTTCCCCGAAAAAATAACTTTTGTCCACTGTCCAGTGTTATCCCAGAGATTTTAGATGAGATGGGTGGTGCAAAAATTTGATAAATAAATAAATCTACTCTAGCTGCACACTAGATAGCACCTTTATTAAGTTAAACAACAACAGACACAAGGGAGTGTGCAAACGTTTCAATTCCCTGAAAGATTTCATTTGATTAGACAGTTTTTTAAAAAGAAAGCAGGGAGAAAGGGCATCAATTTTTTAAAAAAATGTTGTTTGTGTTGTGAACAAAGTTAAGTGGAATAAGGAGATTTTCAATTTTCCTGGAAACTTACTGTAGATGACATCCAGTTTAATTTCCACCCAGTCCAATCCTTACATTCAGAGCACAGCAAGTGCAAATGGTACTCGCTTTAGTTAGCAGGAAAAAAAGTTGTTTGTTTATTAGACATCAGCAAGCATCAAAAATAGTTAACGGGCATAAATGAAATAAAATGTAGGCAAAAGCAGGGAAATACAGAAGTATTTGCACAACAGACAACATTTTTCATTATTTATATATTTCTTTATGCCAAAAGGGGGAAGAATTTCACAGAGCCCCCCAAAACCATCCTGTGAGTAAGTGGCATGTAGAGTAGCCTTTGGTTACTCCAGCTTTAAGCCTTCTATGTATAGAATGACAGTGGAATAGAGTTGGAAAGTTGGACATCAGGTGATCCCACCTCTTTCCTGAACCCTCAACGTAATACAGGTGGTCCTCGACTTACAACCATTCATTTAGTGACCGTTCAAAGTTACAACAGCACTGGAAAAAGTGGCTTATGATAGTTTTTCACACTTACTTTATGGCCCAGGTGGTCAAGGCAAGGCAGGCGTTGCGAGAGTCCTTCGTTGCTCTCAATAAATGGTCCAACAAATGGACCCCCCAATGACCGGTAAAGCTCCAGCACCAGGCTACCCTAAGGGCAGCCACCCTCAGTCCCCCCAAACAACAGTCCCTAAGTCCACAGAATAGGAGAATGTTCACAGGGCACGGTCCAGGGTCCCAAGTTCAGTCCCCCCGCCTAAGTGAGTCCACAAGGCAAAGTCAAGGCACAAGAAAAAAGGCAGAAGGCAGTCTTCAAGGCCAGGTGAGGCAAGGCAAAAGTCACAAGTCAAAGTCGGGGAAGAGTAAGACCAAGCCAAACAATTGTTCCTGGCAAAGACTAACTGCCCATGACTTCTTAAATTACTCCAGAACAGCTTTAACAAGAATAGCAGAGTTGGAAGGGACCTCGGAGGTCTTCTAGTCCAACCCCCTGCCTAGGCAGGAAACCCTACCACCACTTCAGACAAATGGTTATCCAACATCTTCTTAAAAACTTCCAGTGTTGGAGCATTCACAACTTCTGGAGCAGAGGTGAAATGCTCCCGGTTCGGACTGGATCGCCTGATCCTGTAGCGATCGTGGCGGATGGTTCAGAGAACCGGTAGCAAAAATGCCTCCTTCCATGCCCAGCTGAGGCACACGATCATCAGAGACTTTTTTTTTTTTTTTACTTTTAAAAGCATTTTTTCCTTCGGCCAAAAAAATGCTTTTAAAAGTAAAAAAAAAAAGCCTCTGATGATCGTGTGGCTCAGCTGAGATCGTCAGAGCCTTTTAAAAGCATTTTTTCTACAACCTCTTTGAGGTGGAAAAAAATGCTTTTAAAAGGCTCTGATGATCCAAGCTGAGTTGCCTGATCGTCCGATCAGTTGGCCACGCCCACCCAGTCACATTACAGCCACCCATCAAGCCACAGAACTGGTAGTAACAAATTTTACATTTCACCACTGTTCTGGAGGCAAGTTGTTCCACTGATTAATTGTTCTCAGTCAGGAAATTCTTGTTTGTCGTTTGGTGCATGTAACTCTACCAAGAGTATTTGTTTGAAGTTCATTCTTACTTCCACCATCAAAATCCTCCCTTCTTCCTCCACAAATATTAATTTAGGATCTAATTTTTCTTTAATATTCAAAGCTACTCCTCTCTTGTTTTCTGATATCAGTGAAGTAAATAAAACTCCTAATTTTGAATATTCTAATAGTTAGTGTGTTGTTTTCTAATGTGTACTTCTTGTAAACATATAATGTCCATCTTTAATCTATTTAGTTTGTTTAAAATTCTATTCCTTTTTGTTGCTGAATTCAGTCCATTTACATTTATTGATATTGCTTTTATTTCTTCTTCCATGCTTTATTTATTACTAGTTTTTAATTTCATCGCTCTTGTCTCTCTTTGTTCCTTTAGGTCTTTTGCCCTTGCTCCTTCTCTTAGTGCTCTTTTGTCCTATTCCTTTATCCTTTCTTTGTTTTCCTTATGTCATCTGTATGTTCAATCTCTCTTGCCACTCCCACTCCATCATCTAGTGGTCCACAAAATTGCTATAGAATAATTTCGCTTTTTCAATGGAGTCTAATCTATGTCTTTGTTCTTGCCATGTTACCAAAATTCCTTTTGGTATTAACCATCTGAAACTCACTCCTTTTGTTATTAAAAATCTTGTTAGGAAATGATATTCTCTCCTCAAGTCTCTAACTCTTCTGGATATTTGTCTGAATACTGCTATTTCTTTATCTTTGTATTTCAAAACTGTGTTTCTTGTTTTCTGTAGTATCTCGGTTTTTATTGCTTTCTTTGTAAATCTTACATGGACTTCTCTCGGTAATTTGTTTCTCATTGCTTATCTTGTATATACTCTAAAGGCCTCATCAATCTCATTCAAAATCTTCTCCTTGGGTTCTTCCATGACCTCTGCCAACATCTCAGCAATCACATCTGGCAAATTTTCCCCTTTTTCTTCCTCTATATTTTGAAATCTTAGGTTAAAATCAGAACGGTCCATCTGCAATGAGATAATTGTCCTCTCTTGATTTTTGTCAACTGATATCAATTTTTCTTCTAGTTCTTCAACTTTCTTTTCTGTCAAATCTGCTTTTTCCTCAACTTTTTGAATTCTTTCTTCATTTTTCCCAATCAACTCTTTCATTTCTTTTAAGTCCTGTTTCAAATCATCGTGTAGTGATTGCATAAAATTCTTTAACTTCATTGTCTCCGATATTTTTTGTGTTTCTGTCATTGAGGGACTTGCTGTTGGGTGCAGGTGTGCTGCAAATTTCTTCATGATGCTGTATAAGATAAATTTGTAATCCACTTATGGTTTATTTGTAATCCAAATATCTAATCCTCCCCGTTGAGTGGATTAGAAAAAATTGATGAAAAAAAGAAGAAAGAAACAAACAAAAAAAAAGAGTCAATCACCCCCTCAAAAACAATATACTAAAAATATTACCAATCCAAAAGTAAAAAGAAAAAAGAAAAAGAAAAAAGAATCTTAGGAGCAAAGAGAAAAGTGAAAGTGAAAAAAAAAGCCAATAAAATTTCTTCAGGCTCTTCTTGCCTTAATCCAAATTCTATATATGTCACTTCTTTTCCAATCATGCAGAGAGGGAAGAAAAAAAAAAGAAAAAAGCCAAGAAGAGTTTCACCAAAACCAATCTAAAACAAAGTACTTCAAAAAGCTCAAAAAAGTAAATAAAGAAGCAAAACAGAGAAAATAAAACTTGAGACATGGGACAAAGTTAACAATCTAATCTCTCTCTCTTGCACATCTGCTTTCTTATCACTCCCGTCCAGATAGTCAAGGTCAGTTTACAAGCTATAGTTAATTCAAACCTTCTTTTTCTTCTGCCACTAGCTGGCACTGCAGACTATTTCATTCAGTAAAACAATGCCATTTCAAAGTTCCAGTTCTTTTTAGTACTTTTTAGTTAATTCTAGTCAGTAATTTACATCAAAATTATTTAAAGTCATTGCATTTTATTGTAAACAGGAAAATCCAGTCAGTTCTCTATCTCCTCTTGGTTAATACACACTTTTAAAGAGAGTTCCCAATCACTTTCCTTAATTCATTCAAAAACAAAAGCAAAAAAACCTTTTTGCCTCGGACTTTTGCTTTCTTCGCCGCCCAATTACCAGAGGTGAGAGCCAATACACATCTGCTCTCCCTCCTCATTTTCAGCCTCTTTTCTAGATGAAACACTCTGTCTTCATCTTCTTCTTTCCGCTGTGACTGCCCCAGCTTCCTAGCGACTTCTATGGCCGCTTTCTCCGCTGCCCAGTTTGAGGAGCTTCTTCTGATCCAGCCAGGGAGTTTGCGATCTCCCTGTGTCAGTCAGTCCATGGTCCTCTTGTTCATCATCTCTACAGGATGATTTAGGTCATTCAGGACTCCCCGGACAGCGGAGATATCAACGGTTGTTTAGGAGCTTCTGAAGTGCCCATCGTATCGCCATGACGTTGGCCACACCTCCTCCATGTTCTTAATCTGTTTTTTGTGGTGCTGTTTTTGATAGGTTGGACTGTTTTTTCCCTTTGTGTAAAGACAGATGCAAAAAACAAGTTAAGTAGTTCTGCTTTCTCTCTGTTGCTTGTCACCTTCTTGCCACTTTCTCCCAGCAATGGACCAATTGTTCCCTTGACTTTTTTCTTGTTTTTAATATGCTGGAAGAAGCTTTTTTGGGGGTTATTTTTTACTTTTGTTGCAAGCCTTTGTTTGTTGTGAGCCTTTGCTTTC